CAAGGTTTATGACCAGAAGCCATGATCCTAGTAACAACCTGTGATCTCTAATTTCCCTGCACCACTGTGTGACCTGGCTCAGCCTAGTCCTTCAGTGATGCTGCTAGTTTAGCCTAAGGGATGGAATGGAATTCAAGGAACAATACTGATTTCTTAAACTTATTTCAATTTACAATGGCTTTCCCCTTACCTCTAGTTGAAAAGGATTGGTCATACTAACCAGAGCTCTTCCTGCATTAGGAATTAAGCAATATTTGTCAGATAAAACCAAGATTCTTAAAGTGAAAAACAAAAATAGTCTAAAAATTAAGTTTAAAAAATTCACTGCTAATAAAAAAATACAAATTGTTATGTAGAAGAATAAATTGACAAGTAAAATTCATAAAGTAATATTTTTGTATTCCTTCTAGAAACAAATATATATTTTGGTTTAACAGTATTAGGTTATAACTTTTATCTTGTTTTGCAACTTCTTTTTTAGCTTGAGATGTAAAAGGTTTTAAGTGAAACATTCCTCTCACCCCCTTTACTAGTGTTGCCTCTATTCTGAGAAAGTATTTTTGTCACCCCCTTTCCCCACGTCCCCGTATGGAGAGATCTACAGTTGTATCTAGGATCACGCTGATTAGATGGGGCTTCCGTCCAAGTTGGTCAGCACTGCTGTGGGGCTGACCTCTTTTGCTGCTGGCTGGTGGAGTGGGTGTTCCAGCTTCAAGGTTTTTTCTGCCAGGAAGACAGGACTCACTCAAGTAAGGCTTGTGAAAAGACAGGAAGTGAGCCGAGATTCTAGGGTTGGCAAAGAGATATGAGCAGGCCTCAATCCTTAACTAAAGACCAAATTTCAGCATGGCCTGCTTGGGCAGGGGTAGAAGACTTGCTTTGTCTTGACTTCAACACTCCTAAGCTTCATTCAAATCAATTTCCCATACATCATCATTCATGTGAGATGGAAACAGACTGTTTCAATACCTGCCCTGCAGATCTCACCAATGAAGCAGGGGCTATTCCAGTATCATTAAAAATAGAAAAAATAAAAACTGAAAGGGTAAAATAGTGATCTAGAGACAGTGTCTACAATACCTGGCCTCCATGGCTGACTCCTCACCTTTTCTAGGGAAAGCTCAACTAGTCAAACAGCTGGTGAACGGGGCAGTACTTTCCAAAGAACCTCATCTTCCTCGGGCTGCCCTATTCCCTGCCTTTACAGCCCCAGGTTACACCAGGCCTTGCTGCTCTTCAGGTTTATTTAGCAAATAGCTGGAAAAACCAAGTGCCTTGCAGAAAAAAATAACCCAAACACCCTCAAGCCTCCTTCCACATGTAGTGGGCACCAACTTAGAGCAACAGCTTTATTTTTTAAATTGATTTTTAGGGAGAGAAACATTGATTTATTGTTCCACTTATGCATTCATTGGTTGCTTTCTGCATATGCCCTAACATATCAGACCTGCAACCTTGGTGCCTGTGGACAGAGCTCCAACCCAACTGAATCACCTGGCCAAAGCCAGAGCAACAGCTTTAGCAGCTCAGACTAAGCCAGTAGTTTTAGGGCATCGGCAGCCAGAGTCTGTTTTCTTACTGAAGCTATCTATATGCCAATAAGGTACAGGTTGGCGTCTGCCTCTCTGGAAGTTGTTTTCCCAGCCAAGTGTAGAAATTCTCTAGCAAAACCTAGGTGCTTGGTTATCCTAAGAGATTGTTTTCTTACCACCGATTCATCTGGAAAGTGAACAGTGACCCATAGACCAAAATATGTGTGTCATTTTGTCAGTGTACCAACAACAGTAACCCTTCTTTCACCTTTACCTTCTCTCTCACAGAGGGGTTAGTCATTTTCCTTGCCTCTAGTTCTGACTTCATTGTGGAGCCATATGGGGACTCTGGGGAATACATGTGAAACTGAACACCTGATTTGATTTCTAGTCCTTGTTCTGTCCAGGGATTCTTTGAAAATGCACATCTGCCTAAATTAGCCGATTAACAGAATTCAGTGCACCAGTTGTCTCCTGAGAAGAGTATGGGACCTTGCTAAAGAGTTGTGTTCAGAATTAGTTAGATAGAAACTCTTGTCTTCCTTTCAGAGCACACAAAAATACCAATGACAGTCTCAAGGTTGGTTCTTTTCCAGTCCAACTTTAACTGCAGACTGGAGATAGACTGCACAGTATTTGTTACTTCATTACAGATGATATTTCAACCAAGGAAATAAAACCTAGTTTAGTTCACATGGGGAAAGGTGGAGAACGACCATAGTTAATGCTCTGCCCTGACCCAAAGCCAGGCCCCAAAGTCCCCCAGTCTGACCACAGGCTATGCACACAGTAAACAGGGCAGGACTGGTCAAAGTCAACTAGGATTTAAAAATCCATGTGGGGTAAACATGGCTTTGGTACTATCACCACCATGCAAACCAACAAGGTCATAGTGCAGACTCAGACCTGCTGTTGAATATTTTAACACAAGTTATTTAATATAAACAAAAACTATAGAACTGAATTGTCAGCATATGTTGTAAACTTACTGTTTCAACTTTACCTTGGAGTTCTGTCATCTCACTGGCCTAAATAAGGAAGAAAGAAAAGAAAAGAAAGAAGCCTTAGAAACAGACTACAGTTGACCCTTGAACAATATGTGTTTGAATCGCACAGGTCCACATATATGTGGATTTTTTTCAATAAATACTGTAAATGTATGTTCTCTTCCTTATGATTTTCTTTATTGTAAGAATATAGTATATAATTCATATAACATACAAAATATGTGTTTTACAACTGTTATTGGTAAGGCTTCTGGTCAACAATAGGGTATTTTAAGTTTTGGGGGAGTCAGGTTATATGTGGATTTTCAACTGTGTGGGGAGGGATGTCAGTGCCCCAACCTGTGTTGTTCAAGGGTCAATTAACTGTGCTGCTGTCCTTGCTACCACAGAGCAGGGCCAACTATGCTTTTCATCCCAGCAGGAGGGTTATTTCAGATATCATTTGCTTTCAATATTCAGCAAGAAGCTCCCAAGGCCAAGGTCGATTACAAGTCATTCATATAAGTGAGATGAGCAACTTGAACATTGTCTAGAAAAGCAGTAAGTTTTGGATAAAACCTCAGCGCTGAACAGTCAAACCAAGGGTGATGTGCAGATCAGAGACTGATGGTTGTCTGGGGATCTTAAGCTCTTCTATCAAACTTCCTTAACCATATACCAGAACACCAGGATACCTCTAACTTGATTGCTTTCTACTACAAGGCAAAGTGAAGCCAAAAATCCTCCTCTTTACTAAGCTGAATGCTGGCCTAGTAAGTGATATTGGTATTCCAAATTCTAGGAGGGAAAACACTCAGCCTGGACTTAGTTCAGTCCTATCATCTCTAAATTTTTATTTTTAAAATATATTTTTACTGATTTCAGAGAGAGAGGGAGAGGGAGAGAGCAATAAAACATCAATGATGAAAGAGAACCATTGATCGGCTGTTTCCTGCATGCCCCACACTGGGGATCAAGCCCACAACCCGGGCATGGGCACCGACTGGGAATCAAACCATGACCTCCTGGTTCATAAGTCAACACTCTACCACTGAGCCATGCCGGCCAGGCATGAGCTCTAAATTTTTAAATGAGAACATCCTCATGAGACAATCCAACTTGCAGATCAGATTAATATCTCAAACAGAACCTAGCTCCATACATAGTTCAGGATCTGGAGCACTACAGAAAATTTGCACTTCAAGTTTCCAGTTCCACCCAATGATATTTCCTCTATCATTTTCCCTTTCTGTATGAGGGAGGTAATTACTTTGTAACACAGATTCCCAATGCCACAGACTATAAAGGTATGCTGAGCACACATAGCCAAAACACCAAATAGCCATGGATTAAAATCAAAATGAGCTGAGTGTGAATGAGTTCTGGTATAGAAGATGATATCTGAAATTAAATTCAAATAGTCAACTTAAAAATTCAACTATTAAAAATTATTTAAAATTGGTAGTCAAAACTTTCAAATGACACTGAAAAGCATAAGTATTCCTTAGCACTGTCAGTTGATAGAGTGCTCCTGTGGTCAGTATACTGGCCACTTACTGTACCAACTTGAAACTCAACTGAAGACAGTGGAGGAGCAAGGCTGTTGCTGTTTTTTTCTTTCACTGGTTCTGCCAATGTAGGACATCTCCAATAATGATATTGTCACCATATTAGTAAGCTCTCCTTTTGTAATAGTAATTAAGGCAATAACCTATCTCCTCTTCAAGTCCTGGCAAGAGGTCTATGATGATGCAATTTCATTGAAGCCATCCAACAAACACATTTTGCACTGCCTGAAGAAATATTCTCTGAATACTTTGTTTCTAATATTTGTTGTGTCTATGTATATTTGTTATTTCTAACATTTCTGCATGCATATGTGGCTTCAATCATCACTTGAGAAAAAATTATTCTTAAACTTGAATCTAGAAATGTGATAAAGATAACAAAAGTGTGGATACCTATCTCCATTTCAATTTTCATTGTATGTAATATCATTTTCAGTGTCTTCCCTGGAATGATACAGTTTTATAAGAGTTCAGGAATCTAGAAATGACAATGAAGTAGGTTCCAAAGGTTAAGGCTAATGACGAATAGCAGCCCATTCTGGACACAAACCAATGCTGAAGGCTAGTTTCAGTACATCTTATGATGCAGAACAGAACCAGAACACTGCCCACCTCATCCCCAACTCTCTTTTATTTAGCTACTGATTGCTCTGCTGCTGCCAACTCCAAGAACATACCCTCAGACCTCTGCAAAGAAAAAGCCTCCCAGCTCAATTTTCCTTATGTCCCCCCAAACTCCTAAAAGACATTTTCAAAACAGTATCTACACATCAGTTTACTTGAAACAAATGCTTTGTACTAAGGGAGCTGAATATTTTACACTGATTTCATCTCAGTGTAAATCCCACTTTCCCTTTTTATAAACGACGAGTCAAGTACCATTTTGGCTCTAGAATTATAGGCAGAAAACGACATTAAGAAAATAGATGATATTTTAATTCAGTAATCAAATCCAAGGCTAATTCCTGAAAATTCCGGAAAGTTGAATTTAGCTAAGGTCACACAAATCTATGAAATACATGAACCAGGAGCCAAACCTAATTCAAAAAACTCATGTTCCCAAACATATCATAGTTTGGAAGTGTTATCAGGTCACAGAGTGCCAAACAAACAACCTTTGAGCAGTAAGAAAGACAGAATGATGTGACAACATTTACAGTTTCTGCAGCAATTATAAATGCTCAATAAATATTTACTCAATTAACATAGTGAGACCACTCAAAGATGCAGGCCAGGTGCCAGATTCTCAAGCCTACAGTGTTCAAGAAATAAACCATCCAGGTGTACAAGCTGTTTCCAACAGGCTGAACCTACAAGGTAATAAAAGGCAAGGAGGGTTTCTGGCAAGACTTAAGACAAATCAAGGATTATAAATCTATATAGTTTTATTAAAACAAAAACTGACAGTGTTGTATGAAGTTTACATTTAAACAAAGTTTTCACAGAAATCTAACACATGCCTAAAAGGATTTTACAATGAAGGTCTAGATGTAGGTCTGGATGATGTCAAGAACTGACGGATTTCATGAGTCAAGACAGCATTTTGGGTAATTAATTCTTGGGATAAAAAAAGAATTTTTGTTTTGTGTCTTAAAGTGAACCACTGCCCCAGTATGAAAGTGGAAGTTTAATCTTCTCCTGAGACCAGGGCTTTTGAAATAATCCAACTCTTGAAGTGATTCAAGGAACTTGTGCTGTCAGTGGCTGAACCCTGCCACCAATGGTTTCAGAGTTCAAAGTTCAAAACACAGAGAGGCTCCAAGAGTTTCTCCATCCTAAAAACATGGGCCCCCTCTTTACTCTCACACCTCCTATACCATCCCCTTCTCCTCCCCCCAAATACCTCAGCCAGGAGCTTGGATGGACAAGCTAATGTCTATAGCTTCATAATTAGGAGAGAAAGGGTCTTGTCAATTTTAAGAATTAGCACCTCTAAGACAGAATGATCTGCCTATATATATGCTCCAATAAAAGACTTTCCCTTCTCAACTAATTTCCATCCCCCTTCCCCCTGCCCCAAATGGCAACTTTGGTAACTTATCCACTGGCTTAGTCCTTTGTTGGGAAAAGAATTAATCTCCGGCAGGGAACACCTTGGCCTGTAAGTCTCAGGCATTCACAGCTTTTAAACAGTCTCTCAGAGTCCTCAATTAGATTGCCAATTACATTTTTTTAAAAGAAAATATTCTGGACACAAAACCAAATCATTAGTTGTTTCTTCTTTTCATTGTTTCACCATTTCCCCAACCAGGCCCCAAATTTTAATAAAAACAATCCTACTCATCTTCCTTCCTACCCCGTCCCTCCCACCCCCAAATAATACAGCAGTAATAGCCAAAAACTACACACATGCTACGCTGTAAAAATGCAGTTAACACTATTGGGAAGAAGGCTGTGGGTTGTGGAGATGCGCTTTGAAGATCTACAGTATCTTTTTGCTCTCACACATACCCATTCTGCAAGTTTTGTCCTTCATAGAAGGCCCTTCGCTTTTCTCAGCAAAGTGCAGAATGAATTGCCTTGAAACACTTACCCTCCTTCCCCTCCACATGGATGGGTGTGCAAACTATACAGCATGGAACGGCTTTAAAGCACTTGGGCTGCTGTAGGGCACAGAACTATACTGGCTCTTCAAAGGACATCTTCTCAAGCCACTTCTATGGTATCAAGACAAGTAGAACTCCTTCCCCTCCCCACTTGAAACCCACAGTCAGATGTGACAGGGGCTGGTACTCAGGAGAGTTAATTCTTGTCATCTTTTTTGTCATCATCCTCTGAGGGATAGGAATGCCACGTCAGCCTTTCCTCATAGAAGGATATGACAACCTGGGGGCACTTGACATTGGCTTCCTTGGCTGGGACCAGGTCAGCCTCATCAGAGTTTTTCCTGCAGAATAAAGCACAGAGAGACTTTGAGACCAGGTGTTAGTGGTCTCCCAACGTGGGTAAGAAGCATAAGCTAGGGAAGGGTGTTAATATGGCCAAAGCAGCATTTACTGACAGCTTTTGGTTAAGTGACATTCTTGTAGATATCCTGTTGAAAATCCCCTTTGAGTATCTTTGTCAAAAGGTAAGTGATCGCTGAAACCGGTTTGGCTCAGTGGATAGAGCGTCGGCCTGCGGACTGAAAGGTCCCAGGTTCGATTCCGGTCAAGGGCATGTACCTGGGTTGCGGGCACATCCCCGGTGGGGGATGTGCAGGAGGCGGCTGGTCGATGTTTCTCTCTCATCGATGTTTCTGACTATCTATCTCTCTCCCTTCCTCTCTGTAAAAAATCAATAAAATATATTTAAAAAAAAAAAAAAATTAAAAAAAAAAAAAAAAAAAGGTAAGTGATCTAACTCAATCTATCACAACTGAACCTCTGGGAAAGGCCAGAAAAAGCACGACTCTGAGGGAAGAAAGACTACCACATTCTTCCAAAAGCCATATGCCAGCTGCCGGGGACCCATGGAGAGATCTTGGCTTTGTAATAGGATTTCATACTATGCTGTATAACACTGAATACCAATCTCACATTGGCCAGAGCCAATACAGGTGAATACTTTCTTGCTAACTCATAATTATACCGTTTAACATTACCAAATGCCATGCTCACAGATATGCCAGAACTCCCAGGTGCTTTGAAATGGTTCTTCAACATGGAGAGGTAGAAAATGACTGGACTGTAATGTAATTCTCTATATCAGTGATGGCGAACTTTTTGAGCTCGGCGTGTCAGCATCTTGAAAAACCCTAACTTAACTCTGGTGCTGTGTCACATATAGAAATTTTTTGATATTTGCAACCATAGTAAAACAAAGATTTATATTTTTTGATATTTATTTTATATATTTAAATGCCATTTAACAAAGAAAAATCAACCAAAAAAATGAGTTTGTGTGTCACCTCTGACACGCGTGTCATAGGTTCGCCATCACTGCTCTATATTCTTCTGAATATTAAAATGTTCTCAAAATGTAAAAAATCACATCTATTCCAAGGGACAAAGGAGTACACTCTATCTTTAGGTCATTGGGAATGTCTCAGATGGAAGTTGTAGTATAGGGCAGGCAGTAGATATCTATATATAAAAGGCTAATATGTAATATGCTAAGTGTCCCTCTGACTGTTTGACCATTCGACCAGTCGCTATGACGCGCACTGACCACCAGGGGGTACACGCTCCGACCGGTAGGTTAACTTGTTGCTGGGGTCCAGCTGATAGGGACTGGGCTAGACGGGCCGGACATGCCCTGGAGCCCTCCTGCAGTCCCTCTCCAGCCCGGATCGTGCACTGATGGGGTCCCTCGGCCTGGCCTGTGCCCTCTTGCAATCCAGGACCCCTTGGGGGGATGTCGGAGAGGCGGTTTCAGTCCAATCCCCGTAGGCCAGCCTGAGGGACCCCGGGCATCTAGTATGATAGAATCTCTGATGAGGCACCACTCAAAAGTTCCAGAAACCCAGCAACAGGGTAAAGCAAAGCTCCACAGCTCCACAGTATCAGGGATGAAGCTGGTAAAGTATGTTTCTGAATACCGGATTCAAAAAAATGGGAGAGAAAGGAGTATAACAGTATCAGAATCTGAAGCAGGCTGCCCCTTGTTCAACAATGTCCTCAGAAGTAAGTTCAATCATTTCACTGCATAGGAATATTTGCTATTTTTGGAAATGGACAAATATCTCCACCCCCCAGGAAAATAACTTCAAAATGAACTTGGTTTTATAATCAAAATCAATCTTTAACATAAAGGGTTATATTCAGCTATAATCTTTACACACAGCAGTGAGTCAACCAAAGGAGTGTAATCTTAAGGAACATGAAGATACTACTCTAACTCAGGTGAAATGTAGATAGAGAAAGTGTACTCTAGCTGGACTGAGTAACTCCTGGAATCAGTTCTTTCCCTCCAAATGCAGCACCTTAAAAACAAAAACCCCCACCCCCACACATAAAAACCAAAAAAATCCCTTTTCTTTTATGGGCTAGCAATAAATCAGCTAAAAGAAGGTCAGATTCAGTAAACACCCAAGGAATGCATAGGAAGAAAACAGGTTTAGCTAGCTGTGACACAGGCTTCCTATGGTGTTAAACTTAGACCTCTCTGGCTACCTTCTAGAGAAGAGTTAGTACAAATATGAGTTTCAGAGAAGGTTCTAGACTGGCCAAAGGACAAAGCACCTATAATGTTGTCTTCATAGGCAAAGGCTTAGAATTATTCACTCCTAATATATATTTTAAAAACAATGACTGAGATCCACTTGAGGGGAAAAAAGCACAAGCATTTTCAATTTTTTTAAAAAAGGGAGGCCTTCCTTTTGGACAGAGTAGGGAAATTATCCAAAATGTGGGGTTACAACTGTTTCCATTAAGCTGTTTCATAGAGTATTGCTATCATTGGCGTTTATACTTAATGGAGAAAAATGTAGACATGCTCTATGCTCAGTATATGACCCCTGCTGGCTGATCTTGGAACTGTAGAATCTGTACGAATTGGAAAGAATCTAACAATTAAGGACAAAGAAAAGCTACAGAAATTCTTTCCTAAGTCAGAGAAGTTAACAGAATTTCTGAGCCTGGGGCCAGCCTAATCTTTATTAAGGAGGTGGTAGGAGGGGAGGATGGTTCAATCACATTTCTTATTTTTTCCTTTCACTTAGGAAAGTGAAATGTGATTCCTCCCCATACCCTCTCCACTCTAGATTTTCTCCCACCTCCTAAAAAAAATGGCCAAAAATCTGAAAATCCTAAGGGCCCCTACCTGTAAATCATGAGTCCAGGTTGACAGTCAGGCCGAGGGTCACTACCGAAGGACTATGCCATCTTAAAGATTTCACACCTGGGTGACTGGAATTTCGAAGGTCCAGCTCTTTTCTCTGGCATGGAACAAATGGGAGAAAAACACACACACACAGAGCCAGTGGCAGACTCACCATTTCATCAGGAACATGAGCTCTCCACTGGAGTCTGTAGCTCCAATAATCCGTTCAGGCTCCAAACCCCGGGCAAAGCCTCGAGGCTTTTCTGGCTGCAAAAACCAGAGCGATTGAAAAATTTTAAGTATGTGGGGCTGCTATCCAGACTGGAGTTACTCCTGTTTCTCTATTCATGTACACAAACTCTTTTGTCAATATTTCACCAATACCATGGTTCCAATCCTTTTAGAATTGTTCTGAATGATTATCCCACCAAGCTCTGAAATGCTTGAGGTTTCTCCACGTGTAAAAAGGGACATAGAACTCAAAGCAAAAAAAATGTTAACAAAGGCTTCATCACCCTCAAAAAACAACTTATTTGCCCAACCAGCGTGGCTCAGTGGTTGAGTGTTGACCTATGAATCAGGAGGTGACAGTTCAACTCCCGGTCAGGGCACATGCCTGGGTTGTGGGCTCGATCCCAGGTGTGGGGCGTGCAGGAGGCAGCCAATCAATGATTCTCTCTCATTATTGATGTTTCTCTCTCTCTCTCTCCTCCCTCTCTGAAACCAGTAATACAGACACACACACACACACATACTATAGGCCGCCCAATGCACGAAATTCATGCAAGAGTAGGCCTTCCTTCCCCCAGCTGCCAGCTTCCGTCCGGCACCCAGGACCCAGGCTTCCCTCACAGAGGAAGGCCCTGCCCACCTGCCACAGCTCACTGGTCGGTGGCCTGAGCCTCCCTCTGCGAGGCAATCATAGCGTGATGATTGTCCTGGTGCCAGTGGGTGTCATAGTGTGGTCGTCCAGAAGGTCATTCGGTCTAATTAGCATATTATCCTTTTATTATTTTATATATACGTATATATAAAATAGACAACTTACTTTAAGGTACTGAGAATGGATTAAAAGAGCTACCTTGAACCTGTAATGATTAAAACATTGACCGAGCCCTGGCTGGTGTGGCCCAGTTGGTTGGCCACTGTTCCACGTATTAGAAGGTTGCTGGTTTGATTCCTGGTCAAGGGCATATGCCCAGGTTGTGGGCTCAATCTCCGGTAGGGGGAGTGCAGGAGGCAGCTGATCAATGTTGTGCTCTCACATCAATGTTTCTAGCTCTTTCTTCTCCTTCTCCCTTCCTCTCTCTAAAAATCAATAAACTATTTTTTTTAAAAACAAAATAACCTGGCTGGTGTCGCTCAGTGGTTGAGCGTCGACCTATGAACCAGGAGGTCAAGGTTCGATTCCTGGTCAGGGCACATGCCTGGATTGCAGGCTCAATTCCCAGTGTGGGGCATACAGGAGGCAGTCAATCAATGATTCTCATTGTTGATGTTTCCATCTCTCCCTTTCTCCCTGAAGTCAATAAAAATATATTAAAAAACAAAAAAACAAAAAGACAAAACACTGAATGCTACCGACTTACAGGAATGAATTGTTCCTGAACCTTCACATAAAATAAAAGTAGATTATGTGGCTGGCTTTATGAGAGTAATGAGCCCCCAAATACTCTAAGCATTAGCCTAAGAGTCCAAAAGGACTGAGAGATGGCTGTTCATATTTAAGCAGCAGCAGAACAAAAGTACTGAAATTAGCTGGCTTTCAGCTTCGTTGACAGCAGTAAGAATGCTGGCTAGTAACAATGCTCATTCCTACCCTTACCTCTTCTTTCTTCTTCTTTGGTTTGCTCTCCTCTCCCTTATCTTCAGAATCAGAGTCAGCTTTGCGTTTGCCTCCTTCTGATTTATCTGTCTCATGTGCGGTTTTCTGCGACTGTAAAAACTCAGCAATGAGGTCGGGGCAATCCAAGTTCTCTTCTGGCTCCCACGTGTTGTCCTCACTGAAATCAGAGCACACAGTGAGTCACTTTCCACTTCAAGTTAGCATGCTCACAGAAAGGAGAAAGCAGCACAGGAGGACAGGAGCCATGTGTCCTTGGCAAAGAGGAGTTAACAGTGAGTAACTAGAGTTTGCCCAAGATCGAGAACTGAGCAAAGTTAAAATTACTTGGGGTCAAGGATGGGGGGAGGGGGGGGGTGCTTTTTAGTGCAAATTGAAAATTTAGAAACGCCTCTCTCAAAAAAAATGTACTTTCTCTTGCAAATGTGTATAAGTCTAAAGCCACACACAAAATCGTTCAGAAATCACTGTCTTGTATTATAGCACTTTATACATATAGACCATTTTCCTAGTTAGATTATGAGCCATGAAGGCCAGGCCTGAGTCACACTGCACCCGTTGAAACACCCTAGCCCTTGCTTGACATTACTAGACTCCTGAGAAATAGTTGGTGATGAAATGAATGGATTCACCCAGGTCAGTGAAACGTACTCTGAGAACCCCTTCCACTTGAGGAGGTACTCCACTTTGCCCTTTACCACTCGACGGTCGAGAACTTTTTCCACCACATATTCCTCTTCCTCCTCTTCTAGCACCTCCTCCACTTTCTTCTTGTTTTGTTTTTTCCCCATAGTGCCCGCCAGTTTTCTGGTATAAAGGGTGACGCTGCTAAAATAAAGAAAATAAAAAGGATGTAAGGGCACACTCTTGTTGGTTATGTGAATATATGGATGCTAAGAAAACCAGGGACGTCATAGATGACTTTAGTAGTGTGTGTTGCTTACTTAAGTGCTATGACTATTCACCTTCAATACACAATGAAATTTGCTGATATACTCAGCTAGAAAGTTAGTTCATAAAATAGCTCCAACTAATCTCACAGCAAAACTTATTCTTGTATAGCTACATAAAATTTTTATACATATTCTAAGTTAAAAAGTTCCCAATACCGCTTTTACTATAAAGCATACCTAAAATATATTATCCTGAAAGAAAATCAATCCTAAAAAATAATGTATATACATCAAACATATACATATAACCCCCTGATCCGTACTTTTTCTATTCTGTTTTCCATTTCATTATAGTACCGGGCTTGATTTTTTACTGTGGGAAATAGTTTGTCCTATTTATTAAATGTCTAGTTTAATTTTCCCTTTTGTATATGTATATAACCCATTCCTCCGCACTGTTAAAACACCCTCTCTTTTAAGTCCCCTCAAGATTCTTTATGCAGTCTTTTCTGAATGCCGCCATTAATTTATATGTCACAAGTTTCTTGTTAACTTCTCATTGTGTTTAGTTTATTTCTAAGGCTGAAAATTTTTGGAAAATGGGGGGGAGCTTAGTTATCACAGATAATAGAACCTGATTTTATTCCTAAAATACACCAACCTTTCTAAGGGGTTTTCCAGTGCTAAAATTCTAGTCCCCTATAAATCTATTTTCTTTTGCCCTTCATATAATTCTTTGACTCCTGGTAGGCTTAAAGCCTTATGGTTTACCAATTTGTGTCAGTAGGTGGCACCAAAAGATACCAACACAACAAAACTGATCTACCAAACTGGCCAAAATCTACAAATTGATGGATCAGTTGCCCAGAATGAGATACAATCAATCAAGAGTATGGCAGATGATCCAAACAATAAAGAAGTTACTACCATGTTTGAATTTAAGACAATGCCAATTTGGTTTGGTTAAACTGGTTGTAGAAATTTCAAAATACTTTAGAACTGGCCTGTACAGATAGAATGTATTTTAGAAATAGTCCATCTATAGACTATATGAAATATAGCAAACTTTTCATAAAAGTCAGGATCATCATTATGGATCTTTAAAAAAAATAAATATATTTTTATTGATTTTAGAAAAGGGAGAGGGGGAGAGAGAGAGAAAATCATTGACTGGCGGCCTCCCACACATCCCCTACTGGGGATGGAGCCAGCAACCCAGGCATGTGCTTTAGACTGGTATCGAACCTGGGACCCTTCAGTCTGCAGGCTGATGCTCTAACCACTGAGCCAAACCAGCTAGGGCCATCATTATGAATCTTATCTACAGATGCTTACCTAGGTTTACACTCAGATATTCCCATGTCGGCATCTGTGAACAATGCTGACAATGAAAAATCAAACATTTGTTTGTGGCTACTAGAAAATTCTAGACATTGCTGGATACTGGAGATTCAACAGAGTAAGAAATGGTCCCTGTCTTCCTGAAGCTTAAGGTCGAGTAAGAAAAACATGTAGACACTTCTCCCCACTAGGTATTTTGAACTTTTGCAGAGCACGCAAAACAATGTTTTCTGAGATGCTTTTAGTGTGTGTGGCCTAAGGCAACACCCAAGGTACCTTCCCCCTTCCGAACACAAATCTAAGAGTATCTTTTCAACACTCTTTCTCTCTATTTACATACTGAAGACTGACTTTTCTTGACTCCCAAAACCTCTATCCCTGAGAGCAGCGGTTCTCAACCTGTGGGTCGCGACCCCTTTGGGGGTTGAACGACCCTTTCACAGGGGTCGCCTAAGACCATCGGAAAACACATATATAATTACATATTGTTTTTGTGATTAATCACTATGCTTTAATTATGTTCCATTTGTAACAATGAAAATACATCCTGCATATCAGATATTTACATTACGATTCATCACAGTAGCAAAATTACAGTTATGAAGTAGCAATGAAAATAATTTTATGGTTGGGGGTCACCACAACATGAGGAACTGTATTAAAGGGTCGCGGCATTAGGAAGCTTGAGAACCACTGCGTTAGAGAAAGTGACAGGAGTCTTCCACAGACTAATCACTGGACTTCATGTAACCTTTGGCTAACTCCTGGATAGCTTCATTGTGCCCGATTCAGAAGCTGTGCTTCTGAAGGGAGATCTTAATTCACGTTTCCAAATTCTGATTGCCATATGACAAATGTTATTTTATGTGTAAAGAAAAATCCATTTTCCTTTTGGATAAATGCAGCAATGTTTTTTCCCAAGAACAAGTGCTACTCTTTGCTTGCTTATTTTTACTGTTGATTGAAGGGGTAGCAAAATTCATGGTCAGTCTTTGGTTAAAAAGAGCAGAGAAAAATAAACTGACAATCACTTTTAGATAACAAAGGGCTAGATAACTCCCTACATTAAACTGGACTTGAAAACTGGAAGACATTCCCTTTTTCAATAGATGGAAGGGAAACAATGGGTTATAGATGATCCAAAAAACGTAAGTGTCCGCTAATAACCCTTCTAAGTAATTAAATTTAAGAAAGGAAGGTATTCTATTACTATGGCATCAAAATTCAGAGCTATTTAAGGCTCAATGTTATCTACATTAAATACCTATAATTGCCTTACAAAAATAAACAGCATTTCACTTATGGTAATGCAAGGAAACTAGACTTAGGGTGGGGAGCACACAATTAAATATACAGATGTCAATTTATAATCTATCATCTGAAAATTATAATGTTATTAACCAATGTTACCCCAATAAACTTACTTTGAAAAATAATAAAATGAGATCTATCCTTAAAAAAGAAAAAGAAATGGCATTGAATACTGCCCATCTGATCCTGCTACTATGAACCACAAGGGTCAGGTCAGCTTCAGGCTAATCTCTAGCTACTATAAGCCTCTCTTCCCTTTATCATTAGCATGGCCCCAGGGAGTACGAGTCACAGAATAGAATAAGAATAAAATCCTTAAGGTTAGGTAAAGAAAATTTCCTAAATGGGGAAATCTAAAGTAAGACCACTTGATTTACATCTTTACTCAAATCACTGTCCTAAGAACGATTAAAATAAGTAGAGAATGCAGAAAACAGATTCCCACTTTTCTCTTGAGCTTTCTTAATGGGCTCTTCCCAGCATCTACCTCCAGAGATTGGATTCTTTACACGGAAGATTCTCAGCCAGGCTTCCCAGCGTGTTTCCCCCTTATTCATAGGTAGTTCTCTAGGTTTCTGAATAAACTGTTTCCAAACTCAGTAGAATGCAACCCACTCCTCCTATAGAATCTAGTACCTTCAGAAGAGCCAAGAGTCTACTTAAATATGATGGGCAACTATTCTCTTATAGCTTCCAAATGGACTATTTCAAAGGGAGCCTCCTCTCCCTGAAGATGGCCGTCTCTAACTAAACACCAGCAGAGATAGTATGAAGGAGCATTCTCAATTAGAATTGCTTGCAAGAAAATTTCGAAGGAACTCAGATCAGTGTTGCAGCATATTGGGGGGAGGGAAGCCTTTAACCAACAATACTTGCCACTCCCCTAAACATCTTGGCAACCAAATTATATCAAAAGTGCCGTAATCAGCCGAGCTAGCGTGGCTCAGTGGTTGAACATCGACCTATGAACCAGGAGGTCACGGTTCAATTCCTGGTCAGGGCACATGGCCGAGTTGTGGGCTTGATCCCCAGTGTGAAGTCAGACACATGGAGGCTAAATAGCATGTTATTAAACAATGAATGGGTTACCAATGAGATCAAGAAAGAAATTGAAACTTCCTGGAAACAAACAAAAATGGACGCACAACAACCCCGAACCTCTGGGACACAGCAAAAGCATTCCTGGGAGGGAAGTTCATAACATTACAGGTGTACCTCAAAAAAAAAATAATAATAATAATAATAATAAACTATTTAACCCTACAATGTAAAGAATTAGAAAGAGAACAAGAAGAAAAGCCCTTGCCCTAACCGGTTTGGCTCAGCGGATAGAGCGTCGCCTGCGGACTGAAGGGTCCCGGGTTCGATTCCGGTCAAGGGCATGTACCTGGGTTGCGGGCACATCCCCAGTAGGGGGCGTGCAAGAGGCAGCTGAATCGATGTTTCTCTCTCATCAATGTTTCTAACTCTGTATCCCTCTCCTTCTCCCTTCCACTCTGTAAAAAATCAATAAAATATATATATATATATTTTTTTTTAAAAAAAGAAAAGCCCAGAGTAAGTAGAAAGGAGGACATAATAAAGATCAGAGCAGAAATAAATGACATAGAAACGAAAAAAAAAAAAAAAAAAAAGTCAATGAAACCAAGAGCTGGTTCTTTGAAAAGATAAACAAGATTGATGAATCTTTAGCCAGACTCATCAAGAAACAGAGGGAGGGGACCCAAATAAGTAAAACCAGAAACGAAAGTGGTAACAACTGGTTGAGGTGCATGCAGGAGGCAATCGATGTGTTTCTCTCACATTGATATTTCTCTCTCTGTTTCCCTCTGTCTCTAAAAATCAATAAAAAAGTATCCTTGGGTGAGGATTTAAAAAAAAAAAAAATGAGCAAAGGACCTAAATAGATACTTCTCCAAAGGGAACATACAGATGACTAAGAGACATATGAAAAAAATGCTCAAAGTCACTGATCATCAGAGAGATGCAAATTAAAACGATAATGAAGTATCACCTCACACCTGCCAGAATAGCTACCATCAACAAATCAACAAATGACAAGTGCTGGTGAGGACATGGAGAAAAGGGAGCCCTAGTACACTGCTGGTAGGAATGCAGACTGGTGCAGCCATTATGGAAAACAGTATGGAGTTTCCTCAAAAAATTAAGTATGGAACTGCTCTTTGATCCAGTGATCCCAATTCTAGGAATATATCCTAAGAAACCTGAAACACCAATCAGAAAGAAATGTATGCACCCCTATGTTCATAGCAGCACAAGTTA